TATATTTTGTTATCTTGAGTTTTTTCCACGAAATTAAAAATAATTATTTCATGTTTAAAAATATAAAGGGTCAGATTTAAAAAAAACCGTATATATTTCATTTTTTATAGAATGAAGTAAAACATTTTAAACGTACTTATCGTAGACATGTAGATGGTCTGCGAAAAACTAAATTTAAGAAATCTATATTTTTAAATTTTAATAATGTTAAAATGTTTATTTCGTTTATTTGAGTAATCATATCTACAGATATTATTATTTTTGTTGTTTTTATAGTATTTTAAATAATTTGTATATATCATAAAAATATGCTTTTCGCTTATAATAATATACGATCTTATCCAGTTCTCGCAGGGTGTTTACAACACCTGCTCTCTAAATTTGAATTAGCGACTATTCGCTTATTCGTAGCTGCATACTTTGGGCTGATTGAAACAGCGACTATTCGCTATCAATCAGCGACTATTCGCTAGTAATAAGCGAATTTTCAATGAGTGATTATTCACTTATTCTCAGCTGCATACTCTGCGCTAGGAAAAAGCGTGTAGTAACTAATTCAAAGCGAATAGTCGCTGATTCGGATTTAGGGTGTGAAAACCCAAAATTATCAGGAAAGTTAACCCTTCGTGGTCACATCTTTTTTAACGCTGAGGTCACACTGGGTGGATACCACCCAGTCATTTTTAAGTGACTGTAATTTGGTAATGGTTAATTTACAAGAACAACAAAATTTATAGATACATTTCAATGTTTTAAAAATGTGTTTCCGTAAGTTTTGAGGAAAAATATAAAATCCGTGTATTTAGAAAAATATTAAAAGTTAAAAATATATATTGATGGGTGGCAACCACCCATCATGTAAAAAAATCTTCTGATGGGCATGGCCTCATTTTAGCCAGACCACCCACTTTACAGTCTAGTAGTTGCCGAGAACTCTGGATTGCAACTGGCCAAAAGTGTAATGCTTGAAACGGTTAGATGCTTGCTAGAAGGGCTAGTTAAGGGGGGAACACCAGTTGTAACTTTCGAAAAATCGATTTTTTTTCGTACATTTTCTTAAAGTATACATATTTAGAAATTATTATTATATTGTCCAGGAATCGATGACACTTTGTAATTTGGGAAAAAAAATTCTTCTGAACAAAAAAAAGTAAGTTGAAACTTTGAATGCGTTTTTCTTAAAATAACATTTTTCAAGTCGGTGACCACGATTACTCGAAAACCATTAAACCGATTTATTTGAAATTAATTGTGCTTCATTTACACATATAAGTCTAGTTCGTGATCGAAGGATTTTTTTATGCAAAACTTTTTTTTATATCTGAAAATCGACCGTATTTTTTTTAACGAAAATCATACTTTTGACTTTGATAGGTCGCCATTTTGTCAAATTTTTTTTTTAAATCCTTCGATCGCGAAGCAGATAATCATATAATTAATGTAAATCAATTTCATTTTTGTATTTAAGATAAAGTATACTTGCAGAATGCTGGTCACCGCTCTCTTAATTTGAATCAGTGAAATTTCACTGGTGAAATAGCTAGAAGTCGGTTACTGAATCATTTAGTGAAATTTTCACTGAAAATCAGTCATATATCACTGATTTCCAGTGAAAATTTCACTAAATGAATCAGTCAATCTGTATTATCGGTAATGGGTAAAACAGATTGACTGATTTTCAGTGAAAATTTCACTAAATGATTCAGTAACCGACTTCTAGCTATTTCACCAGTGAAATTTCACTGATTCAAATTAAGAGAGCGCAATTCGCCTTTTTTCTTAAGGCGCCACTTCAATAGCTCATATCTCCAAAAGATTTTGTTAAAGAACATTTTTTTCTTTTAAATTACAGCTTTTTACATACTAATAAATAGTATTCTTTAAAAAGTTTCATTGTTTTTTTGGAAAATATTCTTGTAAAAAGCATTATTTTTTGAGTTACAACTGGTGTTCCCCCCTTAAACGATCTGACCTAATGCTGAACAGTTGACAATTATTTTGTATTAAATTTAATAATTTTAAATTATAAAAAACAATCCATTATATTTCGAAACTTGAAAAAAATTGATGGTCCCTATCAAAATAACGAGGGTTCGACCGACGCGACGCTCGGACGAACGCTCTGTTACCGCAGTCAAGTAGAAGTGACAGCCTTTGGGTGTCTCACTGCTAGCCGACTTTCACTTAAAATTGAAATCAGGCGTGTGAGGGTTAATATAAAATTTTCTAAATAAAATATAAGGGTGATTCTCTCAAAAAGAACAAATTATTTGTGCACAATTTTGGACGAGGTTTTTGTTAAAAAATAATAACATTAATTTCAATTAATAAACATTCTCCCAGCCATACGATAAAATTCAACAAATTTTTATGGGATCACTAAAGAAAATTTCAAAAAAATGGCAAACAACTGAATTATTGAATGAAAACTAGTGTTAAAACTCCATTCCGTAACTCCATTCCGTAACATCAATTTTTATTCAATATTTCAGTTATTTTACCTTTTTTTAAAATTTTCTTTAGTGGTCCGATTGAAAATTGTTAAATCCTAACGTATGGCTGACAGAATTTTAAATAATTTCAATTAATTTTCATATTTTTTAACAAAATATCTTAAAAGCGTAATTTGTCCTTTTTGAGAGAATCACCCATAAACTATAGGTGAGGTTCTGAAAGCGTCCCCCCGCCGATTTGAACCAAACTTGGTATACGAACGTATTTTGGTGCGCTAATTACGAAAATGATAGTGAAACCCGTGTAGAAATTTTGCAACGGCTCGGATCGGACGGGAATGCAACGCCAGGCCTGATGTGACCATGATTAGGAAATCCACATTTTCTCGTGGCCCTGATCAGGGCCAGATTATTATTCACCCCTACTGAAAATCCCTGTACAAGATCTTGTACAATTTCCTGTACAGGATCAGCAACTGAACTTGTACAAGTTCTGACCAGTTCCTATACAGGAAAATGCATACGAATTTGGAACAAGTTCATGTGTGAGATCTTGTACAAGATCTCGTGCAAGATCTTGTACAAGAAAGATGCTTGCACAAGAAAATGTTCATGTACAATTTCATGTATAAGTACTTGTACATGAACACGTCCATGTTCTTGCACATGTTAATTCATGTTTTTCTTTACTAAAAATTAAAAACTTCAAAGGCTGCGCAATAGTTTACTTTAACCTTTACAGCTGCGCAATAGTTTTTAGCATGCATGAGTTACGAATCTTAGTGGTTAAAAATTATCAAAATCTCAAATTTTATTAAAAAAAAAAATTTTACAACTATTTCATGTGCAAGAACATGAACGTGTTCATGTACAAGTACTTATACATGAAATTGTACAAGATCATGTACATTTTCTTGTACAAGTATCTTTCTTGTACAAGATCTTGCACCAGATCTTGTACAAGATCTCACACATGAACTTGTTCCAAATTCGTATGCATTTTCCTGTACAGGAACTGGTCAGAACTTGTACAAGTTCAGTTGCTGATCCTGTACAGGAAATTGTACAAGATCTTATACAGGGATTTTCAGTAGGGACTACCAGGGCCCAAGTAGGGAAATTTCTACACGAAAAATTGACACAAATTTAATTAACATGTTGAAAACCAAAAAAGTAGTAGGGCTGTGCCGGTTCTAAAACAGTTTGACCTTGAACCCTTTTTTCAGCCCTCTTGGCCCCCCACCACCCCCTAATTTGCATATTAACCCTTTCATTCACCACCCACCACCCCCTAATTTGCATATTAACCCTTTCATTCACCACCCACCACCCCCTAATTTGCATATTAACCCTTTTATTCACCACCCACCACCCCCTAATTTGCATATTAACCCTTTTGATCACCACCCACTTTCAACCCTTTTGGTCACCCACCTTTTGAATTTTAACCCGTTTGATCACCCCCCACCACCCCTTACCACCCACTTTCAACCCTGTTGGCCACCCACCTTTTGAATTTTAACCCTTTTGATTACCACCCACCACCCCTTACCTCACCTTCTTTCAACCCTCTTGGCCATCTACCCCCCTAATTTTTATATGTATTTTTAAACTTTTACCCTTTTGGTCGCCCATCCACCCTAATTTGCATAACCCTTTTCAGTATAAACATATACGGTTCCAAAAATTTAAAAATCATAATTAGAACCTCGAGGAACAAAGGGTTCGCGAGATACCGCGCGGGACTGTGGGTGGTTGGGAGTGGGTGGCTGTGGGTGGCGCACAGTGCATAGCTCAAAAGTGAAAGGTGCGCGGCAGATGTGCGCGTACGGTCACCGGGGCCCGTTGGTAGTCCATGCGTCAAGTGGGGATGGAGTTCAGTGGTGGGATGTTGTATATGGTGGGGAGTACATGTACCTCAGGCGATTCCCGTGGCAAGGAAAGTCATTCTGTTCTAGCCTCCAGAATCAGCAGCATCAGACCTCTGGCACTAGTCATATACCTACAGCAATCCTCTTCAGAGGTCTCATTCCAGTACAAAACTTTGTTGAAGAAGCATTACCAAGAGCATCAGTGTAAGTTAATCTTATTTATATTTTCTTATGTATAAATTATATCAAATTAATCATAATCCTTTTTTTCTGTTATAGATTCAAAAAATTAGAAAGTTAATCTTCCTACAAGAGACAAACATTCATTTGCATTGCCAAATTGTATAGCAGCATTGTAAGTTTACTCAATTTACATGTCTTTCGCAAAAATTTATCTTAATATGCATCAAATTGATTGTAATTTTATTTCTGTTTCAGTTATACTTAAATGAGCAAAGTGAAGCTTCGAAACATCGTATTCGGTAGACATCTTTAAAAAGCAGTCGTCATCGAGGACTATACCCCACCCCACTCCCTTCACTTCCACTACTTCCTTTCCAACTTATTCCAAATTCTCTTCATAGGTTTTTCAGATTTTTTTTTTAGGTTATTTTCAGCGTTTTTTTCAGATTTTTCAGCTTTTTCCTCATACAATCTTTTTCAGAATTTTAAAATAATGGCTAATCGTAGAAATATCGAAACATCTAAACCATACACCTCTATTGACAGTTTCAATGAGATTTGTGAAGCCTTAGACAATTTCATTGATGCTGCCAATATAGAGTTATGCTCTAGAAAATCCGATGACGATCGACTCATCACGATTCAATGGCATCACAAGTCTATACAAAATTATGCAATTTTAATTAAATTTTTTAGAAAATATAGCTTCTCAGTTCCTCAAAAACATAGGATCTTAACGTTATTACATCATATAAATTACTTGAAATGCCACTTTGATTCGCTGATGAAGCGCGGTGCAGGACTTAATCAATCAAATGAAAAAATTAAATGGGCTCTAACTGATTCGGCTTTTAATAATCGATTACAAACCGGTACAGTCATTAATTTAAGTCACTTAGATGTTAATGAATTTTTAGATGATGCCTTTGTTCCTTTTGAAAATCACATTAAAACTTGCTTAGACACGTTCGGTCCGTTGAAAGTATATACAGTATTCAATGCAAAATATAAAAAGGTTTTACCTGACGGTACTACAGAATTCGATATAAAATATTTCATTAATAAGACAGAGTCAATTTTCCCTTCAACTGAGTTACGCGATTGGTATAATGATTATGTAAAGCAGAAAACACTGAAAGAAATTGAAGATTTTCAAGATAAAGAATCAAATTGGCAACTCTATTCAATCCATAGATTAGATGTCAATATTAACAAATACAATCCTTTGCGTGTTGGTTCTTTCATTGATCTACCGCCATCTATTAAAGCTAAACGTGCCTGTGTCAATGTTAGAAATGAAAAGGATAATGAATGCTTCAAGTGGGCAATATTATCGGCATTGTATGAAGCTTCTTCAAACCCATCTCGTTTGCAAAACTATGCATATATTCAACATCATTTAAATTTCACTAATATTAAATTCCCCGTAGCACTCAATGACGTTGCAAGATTTGAAGTGCTTAACAATATTTCAGTAAACGTTTATTGTCTTGTTAAACGAAAGGGGAAATTCACAGTCTCGCCAATACACCTAACCTCACAGAAACAATCCAAACATGTTAATCTTCTACGCGTTGATGATCACTACATTGATGAGGATGATGATAAAGAAGATTCCGCAATTTCCAACAAATTCCACTATGTTTGGATAAAATCTCTATCACGTCTTATAAATAACCAAGTATCCACAAATGAGCACAAGTTATTTATTTGCGATCGTTGTCTTCACTACTTCAGAAGCAACGATAAACTTACCGAGCACGTTGAGGATTGCCAAAAAATGAATAACACCAAAATCATCTTACCGAAACCAGGATCTAGTAGTATTCAATTCAAGAATTTTAGTAATAAAGAAAAAGTACCATTCATCATTTATGCAGATTGCGAGAGTCTACTAGTTCCAGGGGAGAATTCTTCATCTATGGGATGTCAGACAGAAGTAGTTCAACAGCATCAACTTCTCAGCATCGGATTTTATTTAAAGAGTTATGATGACTCTTTAAATGAATACAGGGCATCACCCAAGAATGAAGAAGATCCGGCAAGATGGTTTGCAAAAGAGTTGAAAAAGTTGGCGGAAGAAATTGAACCTACATTTATGGTAAATATTCCAATGGATACTCTAAATGCAGATCAAAAAGCTGCATTTAAAGTAGCTAATATTTGCCATATTTGTATGAAAACTATCAAGCATGGAGAAGTAAAAGTTAGAGATCATTGCCATCTGACTGGGGTGTATCGAGGTGCAGCCCATCAAGATTGTAATGTCAATTATCAAGATTCTAGAATAGTTCCTGTAGTCTTCCATAATTTAAGTGGTTATGATGCACATTTTATTATTAAAGCAATCGCGAATGAGTTTGAAGGTAAAATTGACGTTCTTCCCATTAACAAGGAAAAATATATTAGTTTTACCAAACATGTTGAAGCAAGTCTCATTAAATTTAGATTCATTGATTCATTTAGATTTATGGCATCATCTTTAGACAAATTAGCATCATATTTAAACGAATACAAAATTGTCAAATCAAACTTTTCAAACTATAGCGATAATAAAGTTAATTTGTTAACCCGAAAAGGAGTTTTTCCTTACGAGTATCTCGACTCTAAGGAAAAACTCGAAGAAACTCAGTTACCCCAAAAGGAATGTTTTTATAGTACATTGAATGATTCAAATATATCAGATCAAGAATATTTACATGCTCAGCAAGTATGGTCAGAATTTAATTGTAAAAATCTTTGTGATTATGTTTATTTATATATGAAAACTGACATCTTGCTGCTTGCTGATGTATTTGAAAATTTCCGTGAACAATGCTTAAAAGCATACGGGTTAGATCCTGCACACTATTACACGACACCGGGTTTTACTTGGGATGCTATGTTAAAATATACAAATGTAAAACTAGAACTGCTCACTGACATTGATATGATAATGTTTATTGAACGTGGTATAAGAGGGGGCATAAGTCAATGTACAAATCGTTATGCCAAAGCAAATAATCAATATATGAAAGAGCACAATGTCAATGAGGAGACTTCTTACATTGTATATTTAGACGCTAATAATCTATATGGTTGGGCCATGGTACAGTCTCTTCCCTATGGTGATTTCAAGTGGGTTTTAGAATTTGACAATAACTTTAATTTTAACGTTGCAGATGATGCAACTATAGGTTATATTTTGGAAGTTGATTTAGATTATCCTACAGAACTACATAATATGCATAATGATTTCCCATTTTGTCCTGAACACTTGAAACCACCAGGGTCAAAGCAAGAAAAGCTTCTAACTACTCTCCAACCGAAACGAAAATACATTCTCCATTATCGTGCACTTAAACAAGCATTAGCCAATGGGCTTAAGTTGGTTCACATCCACCGCATTTTACAATTTAAACAGTCAACTTGGCTTAAAGATTATGTCGATTTCAATACTAGTCAACGAACAAAGGCTAGTAATGAATTCGAGAAAAACTTGTTTAAATTAATGAACAATGCGGTGTATGGTAAGACAATGGAGAATGTACGTAATCACGTAAACGTGAAACTCGTGACAAAGTGGGAGGGTAGGTATGGGGCAGAAGCTTTAATTGCTAAACCTAACTTCCACACGCGAGCTATCTTTAACGAAAATTTGATAGCTGTGGAACTTAGGAAGACTGAGGTGTACATGAATAAGCCGATTTATATAGGTCTTAGCGTGTTAGACATCTCAAAAACTCTGATGTATGATTTTCACTATGATTACATGAGGAAAAAGTATGGAATGAATTGTAAACTGCTTTATACTGACACTGACAGCCTTATTTATAATATCAAATGTGAGGATGTCTATTCTGATATGAGAGCAGACATTTTCAAATTTGATACTTCGGATTATCCCATGAATAATGTATATGGCATTCCGCAAGCCAACAAAAAAGTGTTAGGTCTTATGAAAGACGAATGCAATGGCAGGATTGTCACTGAATTTGTTGGTTTGCGTAGTAAAATGTATAGTTTACGTGTGGATAATCAAGATTTCTTAAAAAAGGCAAAAGGTGTAAAGTCTAATGTAGTTAAGAATCATATAACTTTTAATGATTACATTTATTGTTTAAAAAATATTAAAATCCAATCTCGAACTCAATATTCCATTCGCTCCAAACTCCACAAGGTCCTTACTTTAAAACAGAAAAAAATAGCCCTAAGTCCCTACGATGACAAAAGATTTTTACTGAAACACAACACTGACACTCTTGCATGGAGTCATTATATTATAGAAAGAGATAAAGTCATAGAAAACGATGTAGAAATGATAGAATTATAAAATAGAATTTAAGTATTTATTGTAATAGAATATAAGTATTATATTGTAAATAGAAAAGAGAAATCTAATTTTATGTATATTTATGAATATTTATTGATGTTATTTATTATATTGATAAATATTTTATTGATGTTGTTATACACATTGGTTTTTAAATAAATAAAAATTTTTTCTATATACATTGAAACTTTGTCTACTTTTATTTAATAGAACCTTAATATAGTTTAACAGTTAGGAAATAAAGAAATTCACTAAAATGATTACATTTTTTATACATATTTTATTTAAAAGTAACTTCCATATAAATACAAGACATTATTACATTTTAGTTCAACATTACTTCAAAGTCAGTTTAACTTTTCAAATAGTTAACTTTAACTTTTCAAATAGTTAACGTTAACTTTTCTAAAAGTTAACTTTAACTTTTCAAAAAGTTAACGTTAACTTTTCAAATAGTTAACTTTAACTTTTCAAATATTTACATGCATTTTACATATAACTTTTCCAAAAGTTAACTTTAACTTTTCAAATAGTTAACGTTAACTTTTCTAAAAGTTAACTTTAACTTTTCAAATAGTTAACGTTAACTTTTCTAAAAGTTAACGTTAACTTTTCAAATAGTTAACTTTAACTTTTCAAATATTTACATGCATTTTACATATAACTTTTCCAAAAGTTAACTTTAACTTTTCAAATAGTTAACTTTAACTTTTAGAAACTTTTAAATTTCTGATTTATTTATCCAACTATTGTGAGAATTATCAAATCCAAGCCATTTTACATAGACTTTATTATGACGATTTTTAAGAACTTTCTCGACAAGATAAACATCTGAATATTTGACTTTGGAAATTTCTTCTTCGTAGAAACCGCCTTCGATGGGTTGATCTTGATAATCCTTTAGCTTGTATGTTACCGGCTTTGTTGATTTTACTTGAGTGATGGTGAATATTTCAGTTGTCCAGTTGGGTGTGTATCCTTTTTCAAAAACATTCTTATACTTGCTAACTCGCACTTTATCACCAACTTTGAATTTTGCTTTCTTAGGTAAAATTTTCCTTTGTTTGGATATGCGTTTCAACAGTCTCTTTTCATCTTCTCTGCTGACATCTTTAGGTTTCATTCCAATAGTGCGATGTTTATTATTATTATACTTTTTAACAAGAGATGGTAAAATGTCTTCCCATTTGTAATTTCCTCGTAAGTTGAACTGTGGCCACATCATATTTTTTAATGTGCGGTTAAATCTTTCAATAATTGAAGCTTTTAAATTACTATAAGTTGAATACAGTTTAATTTTATATGATTTCATTAAACTTTCAAATACAGAATTATAAAATTCTTTCCCTTTATCAGTATGCAAGTTTTTAGGAACACGTCCATTCACAAGTATAGATTCCATAGCTTCAGAAACATCTTTTCCACTTTTACTTCTTACAGGAATAGCCCATGCATACTTGGAAAATATATCTATAACTGTAAGCATATATTTAAAACCTTTATTAACTTTTGAATAAGGTATCATTTCAACTAAATCTGCTTGCCAGGTTTCATCAATTCCACGCATTTCTACTTTTCGACGTGGATAATTTCTCCGAGCTTGCCTATGTAACTCTGTCACAACTGTTAACTTTTTATCATCCATATTCAAGGATTTGTAACAAAAAATGATCTTGATAGAACAATATTCAATATAATAATGATCTTAATTTTACAAGTTCACTCTTAATATATAATTTGTGCTTCCCGTAATTCTTCAATTATTGACATAATTTCATTGTTATGACTTGAATTGCCAGCCTGTTGTGATGCGACAAGTAAGCGTAGACGATCAACAATCTCGTTTGGATCATCCCAATAGACATAGTCTGGATATGATTCCTTCTTTACCGTCATAAATTGCGGTAATTGAGTTTTCCTCTTCAAATAAGAATCTCCAGATTTGAGCAAAAGTTTTGCAATAACATTAGTATATTTGAAAGTCTTATTACTACGAATAGGTTTATTTGGACTATAGTTCTTTCTATATGCATTCGTACTACGCAGGATTTCTTTATAGTTTACGAAATCATTAGCATTTGTTAACTTCTGATCAGGTTTTTGACGGAATATGAGTTCTAATAGTCCATCCGTTTTAGAATATTTTTTCTTCCCAACTAGATTAATGTAAGAACCTTCAAAATCAATTTGCGTATTACCAATCATATATGTACCGTCGGTAAGTTTACGTACTCCATAAACTGTATCAATATATTGTTTTCTATTTTTGTCCAACATTTGTAGAAATTTCTTTGTCAATTTATCAGAATCTTCTTCCACAGTATTAACCACATTACTTTCATCTTTAATATCGTACATGCCTTGCTCATGAAAGTCATCATTAAGTATATTATTATTTTGCTCATTAGTATTAACATTATGATTCTCTTGATTTGACAATCTATCAATTATATTTTCTTTTGATAAATTTTGCATGTCTTCTTCTTCATAAATAGGATCATAAAACGTTACATCATCATTATAAATAGATTTGTTGAAAGGTGTATCTTTACTAATGGCAGTCTTAAAAGATGATTCAAAGTCTTCTTCTTCTTCTTCTTCTTTCTTTACATGGTTTTGAAAATTTTCAATCTTTATAGGATTTTTAGTTATATTCACTAATTTTTCCAATGGAGTAACTAATGGTTGAAAGGTTTCTTTCAATATATTTTCAGCTGACTCTCTGCCACTTTTAAGAATACGATGCTTTCGACGTATAGCATCACTTGCTGCAGCTATTTGATGTAGTGTCTCTCGCTCCTTTCGAAACATGTTTATTTATGAAAGTCTCAAACTGAACTAATGCAATTCTCTTGAAATGCTTAATATTTATAACTGGATAAAGCAATCAAATCCCTTCCTATATCTTCCATCATTTATATTTCTATCTTTGTCAATAACTACAAATCCATATCTGTCAGAGTTCCAACATACTGAACATAAATCTCGAAACTGTGTAAACGTCATATCTGTATTAACATGATCATTGTAAACATGCTTGAGATTCCTTTCATCTTGTCTGAATAGCACAAGCAAATTAATATTATCTCTAACAAGATGTTTTGGAATATGAGCATATGTTTGACAAAGATAAAAACTATCGACGTTAACATGTCGCCCCATACAAAAAAACGCTTTAACATTGTCCTGCTTCTCACAAGCGATATCATCAAAAATGAAAATTGAATTAGTTTTTGCATCTTTAGGCGTAACAACTTGTTCATGTTCACTGAATTGGAAGAACTCGATGCCATCTACTTTACTAAGTACTTGTTCCAAAAATTTATATTTCGGCTGCTGTAATGATTTTGAATATAAATATATATTTTCAAATCCTAAACCATTCGGATGTATAATCAGAGAAAGAAGTGCATTCGTTTTTCCACAATTTGAAGGTCCACAAAAAGCTGCTCGAATACTGTTTGAAAATAAACTTCCATGTCGTTTAACCCCATTATCTTTAGTTTCAATGAGGTTATCAACATTTGCAATCGGGAGTTGTACAGCTTGTACCTTGAACTGCATCTTGGAATTGACTAACGAAAAAAACTATAAATACCCCACTTATATAGTCGCCCTCAATCAGTTGGTTATAGACCATTGTCGAGTGAGGAATGATTACTCACGATAAAGTGAAGAAAAATTCTTGCAGTGGTCAAGGATTTCTCAATACTTTAATTAACAAATTACCATTCGAGTGTCACATTCCTGGTTATCAATATTGTGGACCTGGAACAAAGTTGGCAAAACGTCTTGCACGAGGGGATCCTGGTATAAATCCCTTGGATACGGCTTGTAAGGAGCATGATATAGCCTATTCAAAAGATAAAGACGTGGCTGCAAGAAATACTGCAGACAAAATACTAGCTGAAAAGGCGTGGGAACGAGTAATTTCCAAGGACGCTAAAATTAGTGAAAAAGCAGCTGCATTAGCTGTAACTAATATAATGAAAGCTAAATCTAAATTTGGGATGGGTTTAAAAATTAATAATAATAATATTAAGAAAAAGATTGTGAAGAAGAAGAAGAAGAAGTCGAAGAAGAAGAAGAATACAATTTCCAAGAAAAATAAACGCATGACATTAGGGAAAATTATTCATGCTGCTAAAAATAATATGAAAAATAATCATAACGCAACGGACACTATTAAAACAGCAATGATTGGTGCACAAAATGCAGTTAAAAATCTTGGTAATAAATGTAAAATTTCATCACCTCGAATTCTTCCCGTACCTTCAAAAGTTGGCGGTATTTTACCGCTAATACCAATTTTTGCCGGGCTTAGTGCATTAGGAGCACTTAGTGGTGGAGTCAGTGGTATTGTAAAAGCAGTAAATGATGCTAATGCTGCTAAAAAACAACTTTCAGAAGCTCATCGACATAATGAAACAATGGAGGCCATTGCTATAGGAAAGGGTATATATTTGAAACCCTATCGTAAAGGACTTGGTCTTTATATTAAACCACATCAAGGAAAAGGATTGAAATATACAAAGAGTGTTCAAAAAAACTAATATTGAAGCTACCTCACCGCGCACTAACCGACTATGATTTACTTAAATATGCTAAATTTGTGAAAATACCTAAATTTCGTGGAGTTTTTATGAGAAATGAATTACCTATTACAGGACCTTATAAATGTGAATCAGCCATAATTAATCTTGATAATAAAGAAGGTCCTGGAACACATTGGGTAGCATATAAAAAGATAAACAATGAAACTGAATATTTTGATAGTTTTGGAAATCTTTCACCACCATTGGATCTCATTGTTTATCTAGGTGTTGGTAGCTATATCAAATATAATCATGAGAGATATCAAAATTTTGATACATTTATATGTGGTCATTTATGTCTTAAATTCTTATGTAAGCAACTTAACGTTAAGAACAGTTTTAATCTATATAAGAATATGTAAACGATTATAACCTTCAGTATAAAAGTAGATGTCCAACATGAAT